GGTTAAATCTTGATAAGAAACCCAATCAGGTCAACTTATCCAGCAGACTCCAACTCTGGTCAAAAGTCTGAATCCTTATAAATGCAGACTTAGAGCCCCCACCCCAGACCAAGTGAATTGGGTCCTCCTGGGGTGGGGCCTCGGCATCCTCTAGTGATTCCCGTGAAAGGTCCGAATCTCCTGCTGCCTCCAGACAGCATCATTCCACATCTGGAGAGCTCGAGCTTTTTTCCCAGAAAAAGGTAACTGGAGAGAATGCTTTCTGTGGCAAAGGAACTTCTAATTCTGATGGCCAGAAGTTCTTCCCCATGTCAAACTACATCTCATGCTAAAGTGTGAAGTTCTCTGAGCTTCTGCATGGTGGACAGGGCAGAGTGGGCAGTGGTACTCTACCCCTACCTCCTCGGAAAGAAGTGCAGTCCCAGAGGGAACATACCTTGCTCTTGAACTTCAGCAGAGGAACTGGGCTTTGGCCCAAGTGTCCTGCATTTGACCATGTCCTCCACCTTGCCCCAAGGGGCTGTGGCTACTTCCCAATGGACAAAGAACAGTCAAACATTGTACCTAGGATTCTGAGTCAAATTTGAGATTTCCTCCACTTCTGCCCCAAAAGACAAGAGAGTGGGAGATTGAATGCTCCCAGACTTGCCTTCTTCCCCCATTCCCAATATGCAGGTTAAAAAAAATAAAATCCATGTCAGCGAGGAAAGGAGGGCCCCAGGGTATTTCTGACGATGCCCCAGAGGCTGGTCTCCTGACATCAGCTATCAAGGGCTTTCCCCAAGCACTTGACCCAGCTGCATCCTCCTCCCTCCCAGAAGGGAGGGGAACCGAAGAGGGAGCTGGGGGGGACCTGCTTCACTCACTGCAGCAAAACTAACCCTGAGGGGCACGGCCCAGCCCCCAGCCAGGGGAGCTGGGGACAGGAGGTCCGCATCCTGCCTGACCTGCTTGAGGCCAGACTTCCCTTGAGAACAGTCCATTTTCTCCGGGCCCTGTGGGAGAAGAAACAGGTGTGTGGTTTAGAAAAGGAGAAGGAAGCAGAGGCCGAGGCTGCCAATGGCCATGCTGTCTAAGGTTTCAGCAGCACAGGGATTTTCTGGCCGGCTTCATGGCAGCATTTTTATGGGTATGAGCCCTGCTTCATCAGTGTGATCAAAAACTCCGCAAAGATGGGGACGCTGTGTTCCATTTGCTTAACTCAGAGCCTGGCACAGAGTAAGCTTGTTAATGCGAGCTACTAGTAACACATGGATTGTATCCCAGGGGGCCTAGCCCTGGGTGGACACAGCGGCGATGACTTGAGCTCTTGTCCCCATCTCTGGGACGGGCGCTCGTTTTCCAGGTGGAGTTGAAGCGCTATACCCTGCACTGAAAAGCGAACTTGTGGAGGAGCCTGGGAGATGCTCAGACAGGTCTCTGGATTCCCCTGACTGTCCCTTCTCTTCCTCCTAACGCTGGCTACGCCCCTCCCACAAACAAGCCCTAACTCCAAATTCCTCTCCTAGAAGATGTTCCAGAATCACTCACCCTCACCCAGAGTCATGTGTAAGGAATCCCATTGAAATATTCTCTACCCCATTGGGGTTTCCAGTTTCTTGTTTGACTTCTGAGCTGCAAGGGCCCTTGTAGATCATCTGGTCCAGTCATAACCCAGAAGCAGGATGTGACCAACATTTTTTTGTGTTTTTAATAGAAGAGAAGAGAATAAGAGACACTAATAGAAAAGATCAGAGTACGTCATTTGTAATAAGGGTGAGCACCATTTCATGCAACTTTTGTTTCAGTTATACACTCATATAAGTGCAAGAGAGTTGCAAAGTCATAACCATAAGTCATAATTACAACTCTGGTGAGTCATAATCACAGAAAGTTTGGAAAACACCAATCCCATTTTCTCATGTTGGCCATAAGAAAACTGATGCACAGAGAGGTAATGCAAGTTGCCGGAGGTCACACAGCTGGTCAGTGGCAGTGCCTGGGCAAGAACTCGGGCTTCTCCTGTCTCCTATTTCGGCACTCTGCTCACTACAGCCTGCAGTTCTCTGGCTCTGTGCTCAGAGAACACCCCTGGAATGGGGCTGGCCAGAGAGCTCAGTGATCTCCAATCCCACCAGGGCTCCCTGGTGTAAGTGTGCCTTCAGCAGCTGACCCCAGGGCAGGTGCAGCTGGCAGGGATATTGACAGAGGACAGGCACGGAGGGCTGGAACACTGGCTGAGCTAGTTTTGCACATGCAGCCAAGAGTGACCTTGATTATCATCTCAAGAACTTTTAGAGCCATCATTAAATTAGGGCAAAAGCATGAATAGAGGCCACATGAAGAAGGACGTAAGGGCTCAGAGGCTCCAGCGAGTCAGCAGCACTGCTGTCTCCCTGCAGGAGTACAGGCCAGCAGAGCGGCGGCCTGCAGAGAAGAATCCAGGCTGTGAGCTGGGTCATCACTGTTGGTTCAGGCAGCAATCACCCTCCTTAGGGAACAAGAGGATCTCCTCTCTGGGGGTGCCACCTGATTTTTGCTGTGGCTCCTCAGGGTGATCAATGCTGAAATCAGAGGGGAGTGGGGATGCAGTGAGGGTCAGAAACTAATCCAGCCCCCTCATTTCACAGACGGGAAAACCGAGGCTCAGAGAGGCCCAGAGACGTGAGCAAGGTCACACAGCTAGCTGGTGGGAGAGCCACACATGAGGGAAACCCTGAGCTCCTGATCCCCAGCCCCCACTTCTCAAATCCACACACAAAGCCCCTGGACACTTGTTAAAATGCAGATTCAGTAGGGCGGGGGCGAGGACTGAGAGTCTGCATTCCTAACAAGTTTCAGATGGTGCTGATGCTGCTGGTCTATGGACCACACTTTGAGTAGCAAGACTCTACACCACATTGTCGGGAAGGATAAAGGGATTTTTAAACTTCACCTCTGATTATATCAAGGCTCAACTCTCACTTCAGCCAGGCAAATCCTCTAAGACTGATAAACATACTTATTTAAAATATAATTATTATTCTTTTAACATTCATTGAATCCTTATGTGCCAGCCCTGTTCCAAATGCTGACATGTATTATATTTAATCCTCACAACTCTATGAGATGGATACTAGTAGCATCTTGATCTTACGGATAAGGAAGCTGAGACTCAGAGAGGTTAAGTAACGTGGCCTAAGTCACACAGCTAGTAAGAGGCAGAGCCAAGATTCAAACTCAGACCTGTCTCAAACTCACAGCTTAATCAGCTAAAGCCTACACAGAAGTACACCCCCACCCCTCCTTTCTCCGAGCCCTGGGAGCCCCTCCCCAGAACCCTTTTACCATCCTCTACTCAAACTGTGTTCCCTCCAGCACTACTTGGCCACAGCTTTCTCATAACTCAGGGTCCTAAAGGTCCTTTTTTCTAGACCGGTGTATACCCAACGGACCTTGACAAGTCATTGTTAGAGTAGATGTGGGGGAGGCACAAGATGCGAAGGAGCTCAGGGTAATGTGTAGACAGTTGATCTACACAGTAAGACACAGGGTGATCTCTTTTTAAATTAGGGGCTTGCAGATAAAAACAACAACAAACCAACACATAGAGACAGACTGGACTGGTGGTTACCAGAGGGGAAGGTGGGGGGAGGAGGGCAAAAGGGATGATTAGGCACATGTGTCTGGGGATGGATTGTAATTAGTCTTTGAGTGGTGAACACGATGTAATCTATGCAGAAATAGAAGTAGAATGATGTACACCTGAAATTTATTCAATGTTATAAACCAATGTTACCACAATAAAAGTAAAATAAAATAAAATAAATGCAAAAAAATAAATAAATAAGTTAGACAAATAGATAAATGAATTAGGGGCTTGAGTGCTTCTTCTAAGGCAGTGTCAGCACAGACCCTGAAACACTACCCCCTAGAGGCGGTGCTTGGCACCATGAAGTTTGCCGGGAAGCGTCCGCACCTGAGGCAAGTGGTCTACGGATTGGCCGTGAATTGTTGAAGATTCCTATGGCATGTGCACGAATCTCGAATCTCGGGGCGGGGACAAGAGTGTGTGGCAGAGGCATGGGGAGGACCACTTTGGCATGCTTCCGAGCTCTACCCAACCCAGCCCTGGGTTTCACCGGCACCTTCAGGATTACGAACTGTCTTGAGTTACACCAGTTTCACAACACGCAAGCTCATTGCTGTAGGGTACGCTTGATGGCTGAGAGCTCATTGCTGTAATGTACGCTTGATGGCTGAGAGCTTATTGCTGTAATGTACACTCGATGGCTGTGGACAAGCATAGTGCCCCAATGGCACAGTCATTCTCCCAAGAGGATGGACATCCACCAGGCTGCCCCCTCCCCACTCCCTGCATTTGTGGCACACAGGCTGATTCCGGTTCGTTCCTAAGCAGCCTCTTCAGGTGTTGGCGTTCAACTTACCCGGACCTGTCTCCTCCCAGCAAAGGAGGAATCCTAGAAATCACTAATTATCTGCAGAGGCCCTGGGGACAAAGAGGGCAGCAGGAGCGACGTGAGACCATGATGAGAGAGAGTGGTCAGGAGTGGGCAGATTCAGTGGGATCAAAGGCTGGTCTGTGGTTGGAGGGTAGGTCCAGTATGCTGGGGCCTTACTGCCCAGAGGAAGGCAGAGTGGTTTGCCTACTGCTCTCGGGTGCTGGCCTATCTCCCTCTGAATCCTGACTTTGCCACTTACAAGCTGTGCATTCTGGGGCATGTTACATAACCTTTCAGTACCTCAATTTCCTTATCTGTAAAATGTGGATAATAATAAATAGTCCAAATGAGCTAGTGCATAGAAAGTATTTAGAATAGTGCCTAGCATATGGTGAAAGTCTGCTAAATGTGAGTGAGGGCTTAAAAATATATATATATCATGATAGCCATAAGGCCCGGCCCCCACTCTGGCAGACAGTGGTAAGGAGGCCTCACAGAATATAAGATATAGGAGAAAGCACATTTAGTGTTTCTGTTTTTCACAATATGTAGAGACAGAGGCTGAGACTGGGTACCTACATTTTGAGGGCACACTCCAGTTCATTCTTCTCCTCATGGGCTTCTTGGAGCTGGGAGAAGATACTGGCCAGGAAATCCTCGAAGTTGGACAGTAAATGAGGTTCGTCCTTCAGCTGCAGCCAGAGTTGCTTGACATCGCTCTCACTGCAAGAGAACGGGGACATTAACGTTGGCGTGTGGAAATGAGGCTTTGTGGGAAACACAGAGGTTCCCAGATGTGAAATTGACAGCCAGAAACATCATCATCATCACGATAATGACGACAGTGGCTCACATTACTGAGTGCTTGCTGTAAGCTAGGTACTTTATGCATATTAGCTCATTTGATTTCACAGTAACCTATGAGGCAGGTGTTGCTTTGAGCCTCATTTACAGATGAGAAAGCAGATGAAAAGAGGTGAAGGGAGCTGTCTCAGATCACTCAGCTGGGAAACGATGGAGCCAGGAGTCAAGCTCAGGGCTGTCTGGCTCCTGTGTTGGCTGCCTTCACCACTGCGCTTGACTGCTTCCACTCTCCTGTCTTTCTTGATGGGCTGGTGGTGCTGAGCATGCACAGCCACAGGCTGGGAGCATCTCCGAATGCCAGGAAGGAGAGAGGAGGATGGGAGCCCAGGGCATGTGGGGACAAACGCCGTGGAGCTGAAAGAGAGAGCTTGTTGCCCCAGAAAGGACAGTCCTCACAGCTGAGAGGTAAAGACGTGCCATCTGATGGACGGCAGAAGCAATTGTCACTGCGGGGAATGCAGGAGAATATGCAGCACCCCACTGGAGCCTGGTGGCACTGGGAATGACTGACAGGTGAAAGGAAGGGAAGGAGCAAGTCTGAAAGATGTGTGTACACAGATGGAAAGATGAATACAAAATCGGGAGGGATAGAGGCAGGCAGAGAGACACAGATACAGAGCGACATGCCTAGAAATCTCCCCCCGCCCAAACAAGCCCACTGGGCATGTGTGTGCAGTGCACAGCAACAGAGACACACATGGTCATGCTGATCAGCAAGGGAGGAACAAGGAGGAGGCACACCATGGACCCTGCTCTCCCTCTCTGGAGAAACTCAATCTACAGCCAATGATCAAACTGAGCCAGACAGCAATCTGATTTGCATCCCAACAAGTTCTAAAGCCAGTATAATCTGAAGGTAGTGATGACCAGGAACCCTCAGGATAAAGAATAAAATCCTTGTTCTTGTGTAACAAGCACTATATTTGAGAAACTTTCCTCAGAAGTGATATTGATAGTGCCATGCTAGCAATGTGCCTGGGGCATAGATATTATGCTCTGCTCCCAGCAGAGAAGAGGCCCACTGAGAAATGAACCTACCTCTGGTTAGTTATCTCACCACCTATCCAATTGTCCATTCCTCCTTCCTTCCTTTGCTCCATGCCATCCAAACATCCACCAACTCATCTTGATCATCCATCCACACATCCACCCAACAACTATTTATTATCTGCTGAAAACCTAGCACTGAGATGACACGAGGGAATCCTGAAACAAGAGCAGGGGAGCTAAGGAGCCTCCCTGTTTTCCAGAATGAGTTCCATTTTCCCCATACAGAACATGCTGTGACTGTCCACTTTGTTGTATAGGTACAATGGAGACGGCACAAAGGGTTCCAAGATAGAAGGTCTCAGGGAGATGCCATGATGACCTCCCATCACTATGGCAGGTTGCTCCCCTCATGGAGTAAATGCATTGTAAAATCAAGGTCCACCCTGCCAGCCCAGGTCTGTCTGCTCACATCTGCCAGGTTCCTATTGGAGCCAATTGGCTAGAGCCTCCAGTGAGATTTGCAGTCCCACCTGACCCTCTTCCAAAGCTCTTTGCACCACTTAGTCACAGCAACATCACTTCACCTCAGATTTCTGGAGAAGGGACAAGTCTTGAAACCCTTGATGAAAACAAGCCAAGGCCCACTAAGCTGTCAAATTACTCAGCCAATCAGACCACTGAAAAAAGTCGGGAGTCCAGCTGTTTAGTCTACCACATCTGGGTTCCCGAGGCTACTTCTTGTGGAAGGATATAGGAATACAGGGCTAGAAGGGATTCCAGAAGGTCAATCTATCCATCTCCCTGCTACCAGAACAACACACAAGCCATTTTGGTGAGTGAAATCATTAAAGACGTCCAAAGTCTTCACAGCCTCCTCTGTTTCCTTATCTGGGATCCCCCAGTCATGATACTGCCTTCACTCTGCAACTTAAGCCCACTTCCTTCCTGTTTAACTTCAACGAGGATGGAAATTGCTGGTCACCATCTTCTGCATATCAGTTTTTGTATACCACTCTTGACACTTTCTCCAGAGCCTTCGCTTCTGCAGGACATCTCATGTTGGCTCAATTCTGCACAGGCCTTTGGCAGAGGTCCTCAGAGTAACATCTGGTGAACACTGACCTGAGAGCCCTGCCAGGAGGGTGGCTGCCCCAGAAGTGATGAGTGGGCAGAGAAGCACCTCTCTTTCATTACAGTGTCTTGGCTTGCCCCCACCGCTCTCTCCTCCCGCCTCCTCCAAGAGGAGGCTTCACTGGGTCACTGGCAGTGGTCTTGGTGCTCTGGCCTCTTGTCCTTGGAAAAGCTGAATCAGGTGTCTGACTAATGAGCTTCCCACCCACCTGTACCCCCAGTATCCCCACCTACCCTATTGCACACTCTGCAGCTCCGCGCCTGCACCAGCCCCTTCTGGGACTGCAGCAGAGCTGCTGCCACTGCCATCGATGTCATTTCACTTCCTGCGCAGAGCCTCCCACAGGGCTCTCTCCCAGGCCTCTGCCTGGCCCCTTCTGGCTTTGGTCAGCCTTCCTCAAATCTGACACAGTCCATCAAATTGTTTGCTAAAAAGTTCACAGAGCTGCAGGTACTTTCTTTGGCCTGTGTGTTGTGCTCAGGCTCCTTCTCTCCTGCTACCTCTGTATCATTTTCCACCGTAGTCCCTTCTCTTCCCAAGCTCAGGACACATCAGCTCCAACCATTAGGCCATTCCCACCCCTCATGACACTCACACCCAACCCAAGACCTACAGACCCAAAAATGAGAAGGCAAAAGGCAATGGGAAAAGGGGGCAGAAGGTAGTTCATGTTTTTCAGGCCACTGTCTGGTTTCCACTAGCTACATCTTTTTATTTTATTTTAATTTAATTTTCTATTATTTATTTTTTAATTTAATTTTCTATTTATTTTTAATTTTAATTTAATTTAATTTTAATGTTTTATTTCACTTCATTTCGCCTCATTTTAAATGTCAGGGCTTAGATCCATGTGTCTCTTTATTCCAAAGCACTTTTTGGGGAAAAAAAATGGGGGTATTACATTTTGTTTGAAGTTCCAGCCATCTAAAATTTTCAGCTGAGCTACTGATGATCCAGGCAGTGGGCTGGTAAAAACTGTTGAATTTCCCGCCTCGGCTTCCTGAACAGGTCTGGTGTGGCTCAGGGATACCATGTGCAAACGCTTCCACCTAAGGGCCTTCGCAGGGGCACACCTTGGTGTGGGCGGTGGGGGTGGGGGGCTGGGATGCATGGCAGCCCCAAGACCTGAGACCCGGGTTGGCTCCAATGGAGGTGAAAATGCTGCTGAGCTGAAGGTGATGGGAAGCCTTAGGCAAAACTCACTGAAAAACCCTCAAGGCCTAGCACAGCCCTCTGATGGGTGAGCACCCCTGGGGAGCAAGGCTGAGCCAACGACTATATGGAAAATGTGCAATAGGAGGTGAGGAAAGAGTGGGAAAGAGGGGGATAGGAGTGTTTCCATGAAAAAAATGTAAAAAGCAGAGAGAGAGCCCCTAGACCACGACACACAGACAGGTCACTGCAAAGCGAAGGCTGTAGGGAACGTCTCCTAGCCAGCAGCATGGAGCCGGCGCCTGGCTGAGTGCTTAACAAATGTCAGCGGTGGAAGGGGCGGACGAGGAGGCTGCTCTGAGGCTGGGATCCATCCCCCAAACACTGCCACTACTTACTCTTCCAGAACCTTCTGGGCTCCAAGTTTGTCCATCAGCATCTGGAACTGGGCTTCCTCATCTTCGTCCATGTCACCCAGATCCTCTTCCCCTGTGGACTGATACACCTTGTCTTCCTGCAGCTGGGCCACCTGTTCACCTGCATCTTCCTGACTTGGCTTATTCTGGCTGAAGAAGAAGTGACCTGGAGGATGCACAACACAAGGATTTAAATGAGACAATACTCACCCACAAAGACCTTAGCTTTCCAGGTGCCAGGAATCATTTGAGGTTCATCTGAGAGAAGAAAAAGGGAAACCGCCAATAGCAAAGATCCTTGGGCACCATGTTCCTGACTTTCCCACTTCCATGAGATTCTGCCAGAAATACTAGAACCTGTGAAAGGCAGAATGCCTGACAGGTACTATGGCATCTTTGTGGTTCTCAACTCTTTAACTCAAGGCTTAGAACCCACCTCTGTTGATTTCTTCTTTAAACAAGACCTTTCCCTCCATCGCACTCCAGCAGCCTATGCTCCATAGTATCATCTAGTCATCCCTACCACCACTATCACTGTACTTTGCATTCACAAGTTACTTAACAGTTTCAGGTGCACTTTCTCCATACTTCCACTGGCTAGTAATACAGCAATCTGTCTTATCCTCCCAAGTGAATTATAAATTCCTGAAAGTCAGGAAAGGCATCAGATACTTTTAAGGAAACTATGTGCTACCTTATATGAGGCTGATGTACGGTAAAACTTGCCTGCTGATTTATCTGACCAGTACACGCGCTGATCAATAAGCTGATCTGATGGTGTATCTGGTTTCTTTATCTTGTTCATGGACCTCAGTTCTCCTTCCTCCTGGCTACGTTGAGAATGAATGGCCTATTCAAACCCTCTAGAAATTCCTCTGATAGCTGGAACCCGTCAACCTGGAAGACCCAGCCAGACTCAGGTTGGAGTGCATCATGCAGTCATCCCACTTTGTTGTCCACTGGTATTGAGGCAGAAAACAGAGGCTGGAAATCCCATCTCAGCTCCCCCTTTAATGCCAAGCCTTCCGCCAGAGCTTCCCTGCATTCCCCTTGCCATTCTCAGGTGGGAGGGGACTTGGCAGTGACAGTGCAGTGGGCACTGAGAGAGCAGTGATGTGAGCAGCTGAGGCAGACGTGTGAAAAGAGACCCAAATAATCCAGAGCCTGGAAACTTCAGGAGGGCAGGAAAGCTTGTGCTACACGGATCCTCAGATCTGGTGGGGCAGGGGTGCACCTCATACAGCTTTAGGTGTACCCATAACCCTGGGGGCCCAGCAACCATCAGAACTTACTAAATCCAGTGGTGAACTCCTCTGGGGTCAGGAAGCCATTGCCATCAGCATCCAAGGCATCAAACACATCCTCCAGGTCCTCCAGGCTGAGCGGCAACTCCTCATGGAGCCTCTGAAAACAATCCAGACGGCCCTGATCAACACTCTGATGATCAAAGGGGGCTGCCCTGGGACTCAGGGCTTTCTGCAAAAATGTCTAGAGCTGGCCCTGTCCTACAAAGCCAGAAGCAAGCCTCTGAAGACCACTTTACCATCCTTCTCCTCCTTTGAATAGTAGAACATCTGCCATTTACTGGGTGCCTACTAATGTGCTAGACAATTTGCTAGGTGATTTATAAATAAATAAATATACAAATGTATATATTTATCAATATATTTATATCTCTCTATATATATTTGCATTTAATTCTCATGACAATCCTTTGAGATGGGTATTATTATCCCCATTTTATAGATGAAGTGTGAAGTTAAATGATCTGTCTCAAGGTCACCTAGTCAGTAAATGACATTGCCAGGAGTCAAATCCAGGTCTGACTCTAAAGCTGGCGCTCTTCACAACTATAAAGGACTGAATATTGTTGTAAGTTAACACCTACACAACTTGGTGTTGTCAAGTTAAATGAGCTAAGGAATGTAAAGAGCATGGCTCAGCGCCTGGCACAGAGAACACATGCAATAAAAAGTAGTAGGGAGGCAGAGAGAGAGAGACAGAGAGAGACAGAGAGAGACAGAGAGAGACAGAGAGATCCACCGACCCACTGAGGCCGCTAAGGGAGCAGCAGCAGAGCTAGGTCTCTCACTCCATCTTTCCTGCTCTACCCAAGTCCCCTTTCCTCTGCCACGCTACCTCTGCTGTTGCAAGGCAGGTGTGGGTCACACTCTCAGAGGTCTTCCCTTATGGAGGCCACTTATGTCCCAGGGCCGCAGCACCGCATTTCCAAGTTTTGGTGGACACACGTTTTGGTCCTTTAGCTCTGAGGGCATGCTGGATAGGCCCCCCTCTTCCCTCTGAGTGACCCATCACACCAGGCTGTGTGCCACTCCTGCTCCTTGCTGGCTCTCAACTAATTCCTGAGAAGATGTTAACTGCCACTGGCTTAAAGTGTCAATCCCCCGAGTATTTGTGTTTTAAAGGGGAACTGGACAAGATAGTGTGAGGAGGTCATAAATAAATACTGGACAAGAGTCCTGGGCTGACTAGGACCACACAAGGATGGAAGGGCAGGGACCAGCTGATGGGATGAGGAGCAAAGTGGCTGAGTTGTTGATGCGTCCTTCTGGCTTTCTGCCTGATGTGCAGTGGCCCCAGGCCAAGGCTAATTTGCATAGTTGAAGCAAGCATCTTCTTATACCCTAAAAACCTAAGTCTCCAAATGAGGACTCCCCAAGGGAGTTCATTATATTCCAGCTGACCCTCCCCCTTCCTCCCAGTTACCCAAGGGACAACTGCACAAAATTGCTGGTGTGCAAGTAACTGACAGCTGAGGACAAGGAACGCAGGGCTGTAGGAAGGAAGGTATACACCCATCTGAACAACAAAAAAGAGCTGGCAGGTGTGAAAGCCCGTAACACAACTTGCAAGAACACTTGGCTTGATCCTATGGCAATCCTCTAACTGATAAGCCATAAAGTTTAATTTGGCAAATATGCGCATTAAGGGAGACTATGATGCATTACAAAGCAGGAAGATAGAATGATGTGGAAGGCACTTAGAAGAACTGAATTAAATATGAGTGAGTTTTTTAAAAAAGGAAGGGGAGTTAGAGTGTGTGCAAAGATTCTAGAAGTGTATCTGCTTAGCATACAGCAGTATCTCTGGTTTATCAACAATCCATAAACCAGCTGTCTCAGAAGCCACAGTAAGAGAATGTGGGGTGAGGAGGTAGTCAATTTTGCAAGCAGGAAGTTGATTAGCTCCATCTGAAACCCACGTGATGCCATTGGAGGGAGGGTGAAAACCCGGGCTCCTGGCCCACTCAGATCCCAGTCCTTTCCTTGGGATATCCTTCCTCCTTCCCCACTCTCATCCTAGGATTGCTGAACCTGGTCTAGAATGTGGTGTCTCACTCTGTGCTGGAGCTAGAAACGGGAAGGAAACTGCAGAGGTCAGTGGGACCCTCAATTTGCCTTTCACCCAAACCACCTGCACACCGACACCTTTTCTCTCACCAGCGTGAACCAGGTAAAGCCGTCACACCTGACCTTTGGCACCGTTCCTGGACCCAACAACACCTCCCCCCACAGATCCTTCCTATTACCTAGTTCCAGTCCTTCTCGTCTACATCGCAAGGTGGTTTCCTCTCTCTGCTGTCAGTGAAGATGGGGAAAGCAATATTATATCCTCCAAGTAATTCTGACTCTTCACATCCTGGCAAGTTAGTACTGAGAGCTTCTTCAGCCTTCCCTGCATACTGCACCACGCCAGATTCTTTAACCTCTCTTTATTGACCCTACTGGAAAAATCCTTTAGTCTTAATAACCATAATTATTTATTTATCTTTGTTCTCAGGGCCTGCAGAGCCATGTAAAACCAACTTATTCTGGTCCTGTCCCCTGGGCACCTGGTGCTGTCTACATTTTTAACTAAGTGAGGTAACTGGGGTGGAGAGGGACAAGATTATTTATTCCACTGTGCAAACAGCCTGTGAAGCTCTGAGATTTGCCTGAAGTCATAGTAGAGACCAGAGTGGGAATAAAGAACTGATTTCCCATTCAGGGCTTCAGCTATAGTCTAATGGCTCTCCAGTGAATTCATTCCATGTTCCCTCCTCTGCATTGCCATTCCACATCTACTCACCTACCACCAAAATCTCTCTTGCCAGCACCGCCAAGTACTAGCCTTCCAGAGACCCGTTTCACTTCCCCTCCCCTCTGGAAGGGCAGGCAGGGGAGAGAAGAGAAATGAGAAGTCAGCTGGCCCTATTCACACTGCCCATGGCCCAAGCAGCTCTTTAGAACTCCGGGGCTCCTTTAAACACCAGCCTCCCTCCACCGCCTTCAATTAACTCCGAATTTCTTCTTCACTCTCAGACCTCTTCCTCAGTAAGCCTCTGTGGTTATACAGGCTCCACAAAACACATTTCTCCCACTTGTGAGTCTTATCTCATTTTGCATTTTATATACCGATAGATAAAATGAGTTAATAAACATCTGCTCCTTCAGTGGACAGGGAGATCTGAGAACAGAGACCCTATTCATTTTTACTACTATGTCCCCAGGATCTAGCCCACTGCTAACAATCGTCAAGTATTTAGATCCTTGTTGAATGAATGAATGAATGAATAAATGGTGACTACGAGTGATCGCAAGGGATCCTGAACTCCTGTCTTCGGAGCACTGGTCTACACCTCACACACTCCAGATGCTGATTCTCAGCAAGGTCCCATAAACGGGGGATTTTCCAGGATCTGGAACGGGAAGCAACCCTGTAGCAGCAGTATTGAGGGCTCTGGCTCCCAGAGCCATGGAAAAACGATGTCTTCTGCTGCACTCCAGCCAGACCCCTCTACCTTCCTGGTCACCAGCCTGGTAACATGCCTCATGTAGCTTAAAGAGAACAGTTGCACAGCTTCAAAAATGACTAAGGGAAACTCTCATTAAAGAGAAAACCAGAAGAGATCCATCTTTGCAGCCAGAATTAAAGTCTCCCTCCTTTCAGGGCTTCCACAGCATCCTCTTCAGACCTCTGTTCCAGCACCAACCACTCTTCTCTGTGGTATAGCTCAGCCACACCAAACATCTTCAGGAGGAGAATGTGAGGTCCAGGAGGCAGCATCTACCTTTATTCTGCTTTGTGCCTTGATGTGCATGGTTTGGGCTGATTGCTTGGTGTAGATTAGGGTTTCTCAACCTCTGCAATATTGTTTTCTTGGAATGGATAATTCTTTGTTGGCGGAGAGGGGAGGAGCTGTCCTATGCATTATAGGATATTTAGCAGCATTCCTGGACATTACCTACTAGACACCAGTAGCACGTCCCTCTCTAGTCATTTTAATTAGCAATGTCTCCAGATATGACCAAATGTCCTCTAAGAGGAAAAATCACCCCACTCATGTAGACTGAACATGAATAAGAATAGCACCTGCTGGATACCAGTGGAAAGTGCCCTCTTCAGCAGAAATGCCCTTTCTTTATCTCTGAGGCAGAAGAGATGACTTGCGGTTCAAATCACAGTATGATGGTGCAGCCATTATGGAGAACAGAGTTGTGGTTCCTCAAAAAATTAAAAATAGAATTATGATACCACCCAGCAATTCCACTTCTGGGTATATACCCAAAAGAATCGAAAGCAGGCCCTTGAAGAGTATTTGTGCACTCATGTTTATAGAAACATTGAGTGAAGCAACCCAAGTATCCATTGATGGATGAATGGATGAACAAAATATGGTATATAGGTACAATGGAATATTATTCAGCTTTTAAAAAGGAAAGAAATCCTATAACACACTACAACATGGAAGAACCTTGAGGACATTGCACTAAGTGAAATAAGCCAGTCACAAAAGGACAAATACCATATGATTCCACTTATATAAGGTACCTAGAGTAGTCAAGTTCACAGAGACAGACAGAAGGATGGTGGTTGCCAGGGGCTGGGGGAGGGAGGAATGGGGAGTTACTGCTTAATGGGGACAGAGCTTCAGCTTTGCAAGATGAGAAGAGTCCCAGAGGCGGACGGTGGTGATGTTTCACAGCAATGTGAATGTACTGAACACCACTGAACGTGCACTTGAAAATGGTTAAGATGGTAAATTTTACGTTATGTGTACTTTACCACAATTTAAAAAAATTACAGTGTGGAATATACCAGGGACTGGCTAACACAGGGTATGAGTCCCCCCTACCCACACACACAGACAAGAGCTGTGGAGGGATTTCCAGGTCTCAGTCTCAGGGCAGAGAGCTTGACATACATAAGCTTATTTCATTCTTTTCTAACGCTGAGGGGCAGCTATAAATAATTCACAGATGAGGAACTATGGCCCAGAGGGGTTAAGAGATGTACACAAATTCACACTGCTAGTAAGTTTCAGATTCAGGATTAAAACTCGGTCAATTTACCACAAAAATCCTTAAAAGTCTTCCTGTTACCCTAAGTCAGGAGTCAGCTAACTTTTTCTGTGAGGGCCGGACAGCATGTATTTTATGCTGTGCAGGCTGTCCGGTCTTTGTCATAACTACTCAACTCTGTCGGTGCAGTGTGACAACCGCCATGGACAAGATGGAAGGAACCAGCGCGGCTGTTTCCAATACAACTCTACCTGCAAACACAGGCCGTGGGCCAGGTCTGGCTGATTTGAGTCCTAACAGTTAAGCCAGGAATTCCGGGCCGTGTTGGGAGGGGGCACCTGGCACTGGTAGGTAATCATTTCACTCCTCTAAAAATCAGGGACACAGGATTCTTGAAGCTCAAGGTTTCTTCAGAGAGACTCTTGCCCATCCGTCCCCACCTCCCTCTCCTCCATGCCCTCCCCAGCCTGGCCCTCTCCCGTCCCTCTCACCCTCTGAGGCAGGACTGACGTCACTCAGGGCCCCAGCACAAAGACGCTGCTCTCTGGGGGACTGCACCAGACCCCAGCCTGCAAAGCAGTCTTCACCCCAAGTCTGCCTGGAGTGATCCCCACGGAACCCAGAGAGGTCCTTGTGGAGGATGGTGTGCGGTCTGAGGGGCCGTGGGCGGGGCTGAGGCCTCTCAAACCACTGCCTGCACTCGGTTCCCGCAGCTCCGAGTCCAGCAGCTGCCGTCCCTGAGTCAGAATGTCCGTCCGTGGAGCCCCAGCACAGGGCGGCCTGCGCCCCCGCCCTCAGCGCAGCCCTCCTCCGGTTCCTCCAGGGACCCCAAAGAGAAACAGCTTCTCCTGGCCCTGCTCCTTCCCTTCTGTGGTCCCTGCTCTGTCAGGGTGGGCGGTCTCCCCCGCCTCTCGATGACGGGCTGTCCCTCTCACTCTCTGCAAATGGAGTTTTGGTAATCAGGAGCAAGAGCCAGAGCACTGCGGGGAGAGCTTAACTCGCACTCCTCTTTCAAGGGGCGGCAAGTTCACCTTAGTTCTGTTCCAGTCCTCCTTCTCCACCTGCCTCCTCCAGCCCCCTAGCTTCTCCCGCCCACACAGTCCACAGCCTCCCCTTCCTTGAGAGCCATTCTCTGCTTTAAAGGGCCTCTCTTGGCGGCTGAATGCCTGTGTGCATGAACACTTGGAGCTCTGCTCCGCCCAGTTCCCGTGAGGCTGTGCTGGAGCTGAAGGTGAGGTAGATGGTGGAGCCCAGGTCCAAGGAAATGGCCACCAGTCAAAAGGAGTGACCATCCCACAAAGCTGCTACGTGTTGGGGGTGACAAGCCACAGGCAGATGTCTGTAGGTTCTGCCCAGGAGAACCAAGGGGCACGCGGGCTTTCCACAGAGAGCCCAGGCTCGACTAGGAGAGGGCCACTTCCTTCATGCTTCTCCTTCCAGCCCCTCCTCCTCCAGATGTGACGGGTGAAAGCAGCAGGGAGGCGGCACTTCAATGATGCGCTGTGTTCTCTCTCTTGATAGCACTGTCTTAGCATGAAGAATTGAAAATTTAAATGCGTCACTGTCCACAGGTACACAGAAGCTTCAGAAAACTAAGTAGGTGGTAGAAAAAAATGCCACGGGGGCACAAGTATCTGCTAAGTGAGCCGTCCCTCCCCTTTTCCTCCTGCCTGGGTCAACAGCGAGGACGAGGACGAGGAAGACTGAGGAGGAATGTAGTTGAGCCGGTATCTCTGGGACTTGACGTTTCCGACTTCTTTCCAAGTCAAATACGAATGATTTCTTTAACAATTTATAGTTTCAATTCACCATGCCTCTTCCTTCCTTCCTTAAAGAGTGCCTCAATGAGGGTTAATTGAGATATATACAGTGCGAGTGCTAAGTTGCACCGTGCATGTGGCCCAGAGTTGACCCTCAATAAATGTGGATTCCCTTTTCTTTCTTTCTAGAAGAGATAACAGGAAGGTGGGCATGCCATTAACCACCACTACCAACTACCACTACCACAGACCTGTGAGTGACAATCAGGAAGTTCACAGATAGGGGTTTGTCAAAGCTTTTCTCCAAACACACTGAATCCGGCCTTCTGCGTGAAGTGAGACTTTGGGAATGAGTTTCAGTGACAGAAATTTATTGGGGGGTCAATTGAAAACAGGGTGGCCTGAGCTTACTTGTGGGCTAAGCTGGCTCTGTTCCCAGGTCTTTTCCCTCAATTCATGCAACTCCTGGAGGGTGGAGGAGCCCTGCGAGAAGCCTGCAGACACACCCTGGGGCCTTTCATCCAGGTGACCGGGCTCATTCCTTGGCCTCCACCCCTCACAGCTCAGACGTGCAAGCAGAGAAGGGGCTGACACTAAGAACGGTCTACACTTCATCACCCAACTTTAGTGGATTCTGAAAAACCGGACTTACTTAAAACAAAAATCTGACCATCATGTCTTCCTCCTAATAGCAGAGCCATGTATCCCTCCAAAAAATGCTCTTGACAGCGAGTGAGGAAGAGGCTGGGGGAAAAGAGTTGCTCTCACAGTGTTCTGGTGGAGGCTGTGTCTTATTTACTCACATCAGGGTGAAATCAGGACTGCAGCCTAAGGAACTCAAGGAAGACACTGAGAAGAACCTTTTCACACTAACAACGGAAAGGCACTAGACCAGGGGTGGGCAAACCATGGCCTGGGCTATATATCCGACCCATTGCCCGTTTTTGTTTGGCCAGTGAGCTAAGAATGCCTTTTACATTTCTAAATAGTTGAAAAAAATATCGAAAGAAGAATAACACTTGATGACCTGTGAAAATTATATAAAATTCAAATTTCAGTGTGCTTAAATGAAGCTTTATTGGAACAGAGCCACGCTCACTTGCTTCCACACTGCCTGTGGCTACTCGTGCTCCCTCAGAGTTGAGCAGTCACGATGGAGGCTGTATGGCCCACCAGGCTGACAACATTTATTCTCCGGCCCTCTACAGAAGACGGTGGCGAGCCCTACACCAGGTGACGGCGCACTGAGGAGCTGCAACCTCTCTCTGGATGTGCCTACGAGGTGGGAGAGTGTGGCGGGGGTGAGGGTGGGGACAGCTACAGGGGCTCCACAAGTGCCCTCCTCCAGGCTGCACCTGCCACTGCCCTGCTCCCAGGTGCACGCGGCACCTCGCAGGAGTGACTTTGGCTCAGAGCTTTATTATGAAGCAACATGTCTGGGCCTTTCCACCTTTGTTTCAGAAGGTCCCTCACCACATCTTACTTAAGGCCCTTATGTTGCCATCTCCATTTTCCACAATCCTGGGTTGCTGCTGAGTCAGAGGGGGAAACAACCCCCAAGTGTGACCACAAGTAAAGGCCAGAAAAAGAACGAACCCAGGAGACCTGGCTCCCAGTCGAGTTTGGGCTGACGCCTCCTTCCAGGGCAGATGATGGCATCTTTTCTGTTAAAGACGTCCCCTCCAACGGGGCAAGCCCTCACCCGAGACAGAGAGACGCAGACCATTTGGCATTCCAGGCGGGCAGGCCCAGCTGGGGCCCCTCTTACCTGCATATCGCTCTTGGCGATGAAGCCTTTGCCATCCGCATCACAGGCCTGGAAGAATTCCTGTGCCTTCCTCAGCATGGCCAGCTCTCCTGGTGCCAGCTCCTGGGTCTCCTTACACTCCAGGTTGTCCAGGGGCCCTAGGCAGGCCCTGTTCCCCTTTGGTCCCTGGCCAGGTCTCTGGAGTCTAGACACCACTCTCCTGTCAGGGGTAGCCATCCAGGTTTGTCAATTTCTTCAAGTCTTTTCAGAACCTGAACACAGAAAATGAGAGAGAAGTGGGTGTGGTGGGGATGGACTGAGGCAGAATCAGAACGAGAGGGAAGCACAGAGCCACTCACCAGTGCGCCCCGGCATCTCTTAGCAACCACCTCTGAATTAGCGAAGCTCAGGACACGGGGAAATGTGCCCTGATCGCTAACAGATCAGCCAGCTTGTCAAAGAGAGAGGAGAAGAGGGGGGAAAGGAAACAGACATTTCCAGATTGAAAAGAGGTGGGTAGAGGAAGCCTGAAAACAATTTCTCCCAATTCAAACAAACAACAAAACAGATCCGGATGGACAAGCTACCATTTACCGAGTGTTTACTTGCAGGGAGGCATCATGCCATGGTCTCTGTACACATTTTCTCACTTATTTGTCTCATCCCTCTGAAATAGAGATTATCATCTCCTTTTGATTGAGGCTTAGAGTGGTTGAGTGACTTGACCAAGGCCACACAGCAAGTTAGTGCAAAAGCTGAGATTTAAATGCAAGGTGGTCTAACTTGTATTTGATCTTAATCCCATACTGTCCTGACTCCCCAGCACTGCCAAGGGTGAGAACTCCCCTCACTCAGATGCACTCTATCCTATATCACTCACAGTCAACAAGTTCTCAGTGAGCTCTTAGCCCATCCTGCAGACATCTGCAGGGGCCATGAGCACTGCAGGTGACGGATGAGAAAGTGCACCCTGTCCTCAAAGAGCTTCCTGTTGTACTGGGTTTGCCAGGCTCGGTTTGGTGACACCCAAGGCTGTCTTCAGCCAACACAGAATCACAAATCATACACCTCGATCAGATCCTTAAAGTCCTCAAGGATTCTTTTCAGAGCATGCATTGCAATGTAATGTCCTGGAAGAAGGCATGCAGAACCTGGCTTCTAGTCTAGACTCCACTGCTACTTAAGTGACCTTGAACAAGTCAGTACCTATCTGGGCCTCAGTTTCCTCATCTGTATAAGGAGAAGACTGGACCCATTTGTCTTTAAGGTCCCTTCTAGTTCCAACAGTCTGTAAGCCAGTGACATTTCAAAATAATTTGGAAGTAGACTAGGCCCAAATTTTAAATATAAGATAATATTTGAATTTAAAAATATAGATATGCACTGTAATGCATTCTGTGGTGAACCAGAGAAAGTGAAGTCCCAAAGCGCATCTCCGCATCCACAGTCGGAAACAAGGTGGAGAAGCACTGTATCACCAGCAGGGCTCCTCTTTTGGCTCAGCTTCACCACAGCTCCAGAGGAATCTATGAGTTCAGTCTACATCCTCCCCTACTAGCTGTCAGGAGCTGTGGGCCCAGAGCTGGAAGACTATGTCTGGCCTCAGGAATGAACTCCAGGTAACAGAGGCTGGACAAGGCAGAGCAGACTGTACCTTCTCATTCCACTCAGCTGGACATTAACCCCCACCCTGACTCCTTGGACCAGCCCTTCACCAGGAAATGGTCTTTCTCTTCATCCCTACATGGTGTGAACTGGCTGTGAACACATGGAGCGAACTGGCTGTCACCTGATCACAAGCAGATTTAACATTTGTATTCTGTCTGCCCCAGAGGGAACTCCCTTGGTCGTAAGTCCCGACAGAGCAGGGCTGTGTCCGCGGTTTATGTGCCTTGCCTGGCACATCTGGGTGCAATGCTGAGCTTAAGAAGGCCTTTTGGATAATGATGGGGGTAACATCTGAGCTTCTGTAAATACACAGCCTGAGCAGAGCAGCCTGCTGTCTTCCTGCTACCTCCCAGGACTGTCTCCAAGGTCTCTGCCATCAAGGAGCTCTTCCTAACACCCATCTCTGTTCCCAGGACACTAGACTAATAATACCTTTCATTCCTTGAGCATTTTCTCTTGCCAGGCCCCCAACATACTGCATCCTAACAGAACTTGACATCCTTCCATGAGGGAAGTATGATCAGGATCCCTGTCATACAGATGAGAAAACTGAATTTGATAGAGTTCTTGAGAGTCGTCTTGAGTTGGATCAAGGTCTAGGGCAGTTAGAGACCTCATGGACGGCACCATATTGCCTTCCTATCATGGGTCCCAGCTGTGGGCTTGCTCTTAACAGTCTCCTCATCCCCAACTGATGATAACCTATGTCACCTCCCAGAGGCATATTCATCATTTTAACATTTATCTTTCATTCATTCATTCTCATCTATTGATTACCATGTAGCAGGCTCTGAGCTAACACTGAGAAATGCAAACGTGAATAAGACATGGTCCCTGCCCTCAAAGAACAAGCCTCGAATGGTGGGATTTCAGTCATGGTGACTGGCAGTGAAGGGAAGTATTTTGGGTTGGGTCCCTCTTCCTTATCCCTCAAAATAGACTATATAGCGATCAACTACTGCTGACTAGCTGTGTGAGCTTAAGTGAGCCCCTGAACCACTCTGGACATGGGACTTAGTAGAGATGATCTCCCAGCTCTAGGTCTGACTTTCTCTGGCTCTCTGCCTTCCCTGGCCATGTTACAGGTGATGCATGGTATGAAAGAGCCAATCTAATAGTCCTAAAGAAGACAGCTGTGAGCAACTGCCAGACAGGCACCATCTTATTTGATTTTAACCCTAGCTCCTAGCCCAGAATATGGTGAACAGTAGGTGCTCACTGATTGTTGAATGAAGGAAAACCAATCTTTTGCTAAATTCCTTGCAGGGAGGCCTGAGAACATTTGTATTCCAGTCAGATAGTTCTATATCTAGGATTTTTTAATCTCATAAAGAATATGTCCAGACTTCTGTTTTCAGAAAAGATGGAGTGATAGGGACTGATTTTACCCTTCCAGTTGAAATAATCAAAAATCCAGAAAAAAAAATTTTTTTAATGGTTTATAAGACACTGAGTGTCAGACAATGAAGGACAGTGATCCTTCTGCAGGGCCGGGACAAAGGTGAGCTGAGTGAGGCCCCCAAAGTGCAAAATTAAAGGAGGCATTTACACTCAGGTGCTAAGCCTGTATTTGCACAACTCTGAGAGTGTCTTCTTAAGAGAGAAGCAAAAAATTTAAAGAGGGTACAAAATTTAAAGAGGAATCTACTCTCAAAGCTGTGTATCTGAAAGTGGTTACTTTCTTAACTTTGCATGGTAGGGGCCACACTCACCTTACCCTAGTCCAAGCCCTGATCCTGAGAGATGGGAAACAAAATGAGCCCCACTATTGTCTAAAGAGTTTTTAGATCATGGCACAGGAAGGGCAAACCCAGGCAGTGCCTGGCAGATTCTCTAGGTTGAGGAAACCCAACTACATGCTGCCTACAAGTAATGTACTTTAAACATACAGACACGAATAGGTTAAAAGTAAAAGGTTGGAAAATATATACCATGCTAACACTAGTCAAGAGAAAGCTGCCTATTAATATCAGGCAAAGTAGGTTCTAAAACAAAGAATATTAATGAGGATGAAGAAAGTCATTTCATAATGGTAAAGAAGTCAATTTGTCAATAGGATATAACAACTCTAAACACTTACACACCTAGTAACAAGATTTTAAAAAGCATGAAACAAAAACTGATAGAACTGCAAGAAGAAATAGATAAATCCACAATCATGTTCAAAGAGTTCAACATCCCTCGATCAATAATTATAAAACAAGCAGACAGAAATCGGTAAGGATACAGATGATGCAAGCAGCACTGCCAACCGTCTCGACCTAACTGACATTCATAGAACACTCCACTCAACAAAAGCTGATTATACTTTTTTTTTCAAGTGCACATGGAATATTTACCAATACAGTCCATATTCTGGTCCATAAAACAAGTTTCAATAAATGTTAAAGGATTCAAGTCATACAAAGTGTGTATTCTGACTCCAGCGGAATTACATTAGAACCAATAACAGAAAGACCTCTGGAAAATCCTCAAATATGTGGAAACTATGTAACTAATATCTGAACAATCCATGGGTCAAAGAAGAAATGAAAAAGGAAATTAAAAACTATTTTGAACTAAAAGAAAATAAAAGCACAATATATTAAATTTTGTAGGATATTGCTAAAGCAGTACTCAGGGAAAAAAATTATAGCAGTAAACACACGTACTAGAAGAGAAGAAAGGTTTCAAATCAATGACTTCAGCTTCTACCTTAAGAAATTAGAAAAACAGCAAATTAAACCCAAAGTAAGGAGAAGAAATAATAAAGATCAGAGCAGAAATCAATGAAATGGAAAACAATAGAGAAAATTAACAAAACTAAAAGCTAGTTCTTTAAGAAGATCAATAAAGAGAGAAGACACAAATTACAATATCAGAAATTTGAGAAGTGACACCATTACAAACTCTACAAACATTAAAAGGCTAATAAGGGAATATTATGAGTAACTTTATGCCAATAAACTCGATAGTTTAGACAAGGTTCGAGGACAAATTCCTCGAAAAATACTAAACATCAAAACTCACTCAAAAAGAAATAGATAACATGAATAACACTATATCTAATAAAGAAATTGACCTGACACTTAAAAATCTTCCTATAAGAAACCTCTAGGGCCGGCCCCGTGGCTTAGCGGTTAAGCGCGCGTGCTCCGCTGCTGGCAGCCCGGGTTCGGATCCCGGGCGTGCACCGACGCACTGCTTCTCCGGCCATGCTGAGGCCGCGTCCCACATACAGCAACTAGAAGGATGTGCAGCTATGACATACAACTATCTACTGGGGCTTTGGGGGAAAAATAAATAAATAAATAAAATTTTTAAAAAAAGAAATACTATGTTTAAAAAACAAACAAACAAGAAACCTCTAGGCGCAAATGACTACACTGATGAATTCTACCAAATATTTAGAGAAAAACTGATACCAATTCTACAAAAACTCTTCCAGAATATCGAAGAATATGAAATACTTCCTAACATATTTTATGAGGCCAGGATTACCCTGATACCAAATGGACAAAGGCATTACAAGAAAAGAAAAATACAGGCCAATATCCCTCAGGAACATAGATGCAAAAATTCTTTAGAAAATTTTAGCAGATTGAACACAACACCATACATAAA